CACACCGTACCACAACACACCACACCAGGACCAGACCATGCCACACCACACCACACCCCACACCACCCCACACCAACAACAACACCAACACACCAACACACCAACACACACACACACACACACACACACACACATGTAGTCACGTAACGTAGGCACGTACGTAATCATGCAGTATTGTTTTGTTCTTAGTTCTGGGGCTGGCCCATGTGACTCTTTCTAGCATGATGGCTAGTTGCTGGGTGTGAGAAGACGAGTGTTTTGGTATGCGGCTCATCTCGCATTTGGATGCAAGGTTTATCTTTGACCCTGGACACCGCAGGTCCAACATAATTTCCGCCCCAAGAGCCAAGGAAAATCCGTTGCTCTTACTAGCCAATGGCACTAAATGGTCACCAGGAGTCAACGTCTCGGCGACCATGTTGCAGCTGTCACTCGAGCTGTCACTCACACAGGGCTCCCTATGTTTCCCTTTTTGGTGGTTTTGAACATCATCAATTTGACCCATGAAAGGTGGGTGTCCCTTGGGTGAGGGGGGGGGGTGATGTTTTCAGGGGAAAATAAGCTGGAGCCCTGCACGATCGGCTGGTCGTGCCGCAGGCGCTCAATTTTGCCGACTTTGTGAACACGAAGTATGAGGTGACCGGCAAGGCTCGTATAGAGCTGGCGGGGAGATGGGTATGGGTCAAATCCAAATCGTACCCCCAGTGAACATCCCAATCCCCACTAAAATAGGTTCTAAAATGGGTGGTGACCCCACAGCCAGATGGGAACGCCTTCAGTCAGCCTCATGGATTGCCAGCCTGCCAGCGATTGACTCACTCCAGTCACAGCTCACTGACTGTACCCACGCCCAGGTGGATGGTTCCAGCAACTTCACAAAGCTGTCCATGTGTGGAAGGTAGCAGCAGGTTTTTTAGAAACGAAATGAAGGGACCGGACCCCAACAACTGGCTTTCTTTTGGTTTCCCGTTGAAAGCCAGCCAAAAGCAGCACTCCCCCCCACAATTTTAGCAATCCGAAATTGCGTGAACAAAGGTGAGGTCTGAGAGAGGCCTGCCTTCGGAAATTATGGGAGATGAACGTCCCTAGGTGTTCTCTCGCACCTCGCAAGGTGCTTGGACCTATTTCTCCAGCAAATCCTGAGGTACCAAAAAGGACCCTTGGGTTAGGTGAGTGCAAGCGAAATCCAAGCGGCATCCAGAGATCTGGTGTTCGGCTTTGCAAGCGGTGCCTTTTTTCGCCGGACCTCCCAAAACCGCTTCCATATTGCAAGCCTGAGGGTCTCGGCATTCTTGGCGCATCCAACTTGCCCTGTTTCCAACTTGTACCAGACACATTTGATTTATTAATTTATGATAGGGGGGTGTCCCTGGGTTTAGTGGGGAATCACCACTTTTGGAGGGGAACACCCCTGGTATTAACAAACTGGGGGTACTTGATGTCTTGCTCGTTGACGGCCGCAGGTGGGCTCTGCGCTTGAGGAGGCGCTGGAGAAGAACGCGGGGGCCAAGGACGGCGCGGCGCTTCCCACCGTCTGGGGGCATTTCATCCCGTTTCCACTCCTATTGGAAACATATCGCTGAATGCAGATGTACTGGATCCGGGGTTCTTCCAGAGCATGCTTTGTCCAGCGTGTCAGCCAGATGCCGAAGGCGCCCAAGGTAGGTCGCCAGAATGGAAGCCTGGTGACCCGGGGGGGGGTGGGTGGCGCGCCACGAAAGCGCGCTTTCGACCCGTTTGCCGTGTGTGTCCTTTTTTTTTTTTCTGAGGGGGGTCCCGCCCAAAATGGTTTCAGTGTTCCACTTGGTTTCCCTGGAGAAGGTGTAACCCTCAAAAGCAAACACCCATTCGAAGCAATCACTTGTCCCGAATTGGAAAAAGGTCTTGTGAGGGAAATATGTCCAAAAGGCCCAACGCAGACATGCCATATATTCCGCAGATGGAGTGCTTTTTGTTGACCACTTGCTCGGGAGCCACGTGCCAGTGAGCTCCTGAAACCCAGCCTCCTGTTCCCATTCAGCGACTCAGGGCGCTCGGGCACCCGGCTTCCCGAAGCTTGTGCCGCTTCTTTTTTTCGGGCGGCGCGCTCGTTCGAGTTCCGAGGACTCGCTGAAGCCGGTGCAGAGCAGTCTAGACACCGTGACGGAGGCCATCGAGAGCTTCGACAAGGCCACGGCGGGTTCGGTCGCTTGTTGTGAGCCCCGGAAAAACACAGGCCGGTCAGGTTTTTTTGGGCATCTACCAGCGCTTATTCAAGCGCCACCAGGGGTGGACAGGACTTTTTGAGGGGTAGGGCTTTGGCTTCGGATTTGGGTTAACGGTTACGTTTAGGCTTAGGGTTTAGGTTTGGGATTGAGGCTTAGGTTTAGGATTTCTGCTTCAGAGTTCAGTTTTTCGGGATTGGGTTTGGGCTCAACGCTTGCCGAAAAGTTGGCATCTCCTGTACGTTTTGGTGCATTGACACGAGCGATCCATGCCGAGGGTCGACCATAGACCGCGCAGCGTCATCAGAAGCACTCCCTGCGGGTTTCGTACATCGACATGCGCGATCCAGGGGCCCTTTCCCTTTGTGGTAAACGGACACCAAAAGCAACGTTGCACAAACGCCATTTTTGCCATCCCCTGAAAAATAGTAATCCTCCCGACCCACGTCCACCGTCGGCAAAAAAGCTCTCCGCGAGCCGCGTCGTGTGAGCTTCGGTTCGCCTCAGGACGTGGGCATCAAGGAGACTGTGGGCAGCTTGCTGCTGGCGGGCTCTGATCTGGCCAGCCAGCTGGCGACCAAGGCAGGCAGCAAGGGCGTGATATCAAAGGGTCCGAACGGCGGGACGGATGACCCCAGCCCACCTGAGCCAGGATCAAAACCCGGGTAGATGAAGGTTAGTAAGGGACAATCCCAACCATAAATAGCTGCGAATATCCGCCTTCTCAATTCTTTACATGGTCCTGGTCGGGCCATTTTGCTACCGGGTGCTGATTATGCTTCACCTAAAAATTATAAGAATGGGGGGGGGAGGTGGCCACCAAGGCCGGCAAGGGGTTGATCAAAAGGTCAAAAGATGGGACCGGGTGGGATGACCATTGACCGGCGGGTCCAAGAGGGTGGCCCCTGGAATTCCAGTGGCTCCATGTTGGATTGATCAAAAGGATCATTAAAAACCGAGGGATCTGGTTCTTAGATGAGTGGAACTCTGGTGATGGCGTTTCGTCGAAATGCGTAGATCTTGCCAAGCTCGTCACCTATCCTGGTGATGAGCTTACTTGGTGGCTCCCGAAGGCCATCCGGTTCCTCAGCTGTTTAGGTTGTTAGTTGGTTTATAGTTTCCATTCAACCCAGCAACAGTTGAACTTTGCGCGGGAGATCTGAGAACAGTCCTGAAACATGGGATGACCAGAAGGGGAAGCCGCCAAGCAGATTTGACTTTCACATGGGAAAAGTTACCTATGGTCAAAACTAGGGGTCAGAAATCAAGAAATCAATGGAATCAAACCCCAAATGGGTCAGCAAATGGTGTCTTAAAAAAAAAAAACATGTTGGTCTCCCAAAATGGTTGGCTTCCAGTCAGCAAACATGAAAATAGGGAATCCGCCAGCCTCTCACAGCATTCTCCTCTTGTTCGGGGGTCGGTGAATCGCTAGACATTACTCAGATTCTTCAGCGCTACTCTTCGCTCGCGATCGAAAACAGGTTGTCGAGCTCAACAAGGAGTACAAGGCCTGGGGTTAATTGGGAATGCGGACTTCTTGAGTTCCAGTTGTGGCGGCTCATTTTTTTCGGTCTGTGAGCAACACTCAAGTCACTAGAGAAATGGAGGAGCTGCAGTATGTGATATGCATGGAGGGGTTCGGCCAGGTTGGATTGTTGGTTCTGAGAGTAAGCAAGCTTCAACCTGTTGCTGGACAATTTCACTGGTACACCTCTTGGTGTTGATCCAATGTTTGGGTGTGTGTTTCGTTGACGGCACTGACAAGGTGGGGTCAAGGGAAATGTTCAACAGAAGCTGCCAATGCTAGGGGCTTCCCATTTGGACACACGCACATTTGCATTTCGGAAAGGCAATCCCAGATGGATTGCTTCGAACACATCGCGAGCTTTGTGTTTAGGCGGGGATGCTGCGGGCTCGCTCAAGATGAAGGTTTCGTACCTTGAGTTCTAATGGTCTCCCCCAGAGTTTTCCAATATTTGTGCATCGAAACTCCACTTGCGTTTCTGCGGGCTCCACAGGTCTTGGTTGCATTTTGCCAAGGGATGTTAGGACTTTGACCTTTTGCCAACGAATGGGTTTTCCGAATTAAACCACTAAAAGTTAAACTTTTAGCAGGGGAGCAGAAAGCAACCGAGTAGTGTTATGAATTAGTGTTATGAATCAGCCCCAGTTTATTAATACGGGTGCTTTTCTCTGGGCTAAAGTGGTTGGAATCAGACCACTTTGGGAGGGGCCCTCACACCTCTATGAATAAACAGGTCGGTTGATTAATATGGCTGTGGGTCAAAACCAATGGTACCATTTTGGGGTAGGTGCACCACCCATTTTAGCACCTATTTTGGTGGGGATTGGGATGTTCACTGGGGGTACGATTTGGATTTTGACCCATGGCCATATGGGCTCAACATTCTGTTTGAGTTCTTTGTGCCGATTTTCTGCAAAGGAAGCGGAGCCAAGGTCACCGACCAAGTGAAGGCCAAGATCGAAGAAGCCATGGACAAGGAGTCGCGGGATGCACGCCATCGACGGCGTTTTCACTTTGAGGTCCCCCAAAGGTGATCGCCTTTTCGTTTGGGTTCAAACCATAAATCAAAGCGAGGTCATAAATATATAACCATTGATTGCCGAAGGAGTTGTATCATCGACATTTTGTGAACCGTTCATTTAGTGGGGGTTGAACCCTAGGGTTTTCTTAAACCAGGTCTCACAACAGACAAAAGGTGAACCTCTTCTTGATCTGAGCTGATGCTTGAAGCTTGCCAAGCTTTCCAGCTTGATAGGTTCTATTTCCTTCTGCCGTCTTCTTTTTTTGTGATGGAAATCTGCTTACCTCTTAAAAACACAACTTTTCGTAACTTTTTGGGTAACATGGGCTATATGTCTGTAAAAGATGAAAACTTCCCCAGGGCTTGGAGTTTTAAGGGGTAAGTCTGCATTCATCGAGATAGCAATCACACATCAACACCTACCAAACCCAACGCGGTCTAGTAGGATTCCTCTGCGGGCCTACGAAAGCCGGCCGCTCCTTGCGCGCGCCCACACACACACACAGACGCACCCACGCAGACACAGACACACAGACACACAGACACACAGACACACACCTACACCTACACCTACACCTACACCTACACCTACACACGCACACACGCACACACGCACACACGCACACACGCACACACGCAGACACAGACACAGACACAGACACAGACACAGACACAGACACAGACACAGACACAGACACAGACACAGACACAGACACAGACACCGACGCCGACGCCGACGCCGACGCCGACGCCGACGCCGACGCCGGGACGCCGGCACGCCGACGCCGGCGCGACGCCGGCGCGCGACGCCCGATGCTGGCCGCCCTGCCACGCCGCGCGCCGCCCGCGCCCGCCCGCGCCCGCGCCCGCGCCCCCGCCCGCCCGCGCCGCCCGATGCGCCCCCCGGCCCGCGCCCCCGCCCGCCGCGCCCGCCCGCCCGCGCCGCCCGCCCCCGCCGCGCCCGCGCCGGCGCCCGCCCGCGCCCGCACGCGCCCCGCCCGCGCCTCGCGCCCGGCGCCCGCGCCCCGCCGCCGCGCGCTCACGCCCGCCCGCGCGCCGCGCCCGCACGACGCCCGACGCCGCCCACGCGCGCCCTCCGCCGCCGGCGCATCCGCGCCGGCGCGCCCGCCCCGCCCGCCGCGCCCCGACGCCGCCGCGCCCGCGCCCCGCGCCCGCGCCCGCGCATCCGCGCCGCGCCCCGCCCCCGCCATCCCGCCCCCGCCGCCCGCCCCGCCGCCAGCCCCGCCCCCGCCCACCCACGCCGCCCCCGCCCCCGCCCGCCCCTTCCCGCCGCCCGCCGCCCGCGCCCGCCGCGCCGCCCGCCCGCCGCCGCCGCCCGCCGCGCCGCCCGCCGCGCCCGCCCCCCGCCCGCTCGCCCGCCCGCCCCGCCCGCCCCGCCCCGCCGCCCGCCCGCACAGACACAGACACAGACACAGACACAGACACAGACACAGACACAGACACAGACACAGACACAGACACAGACACAGACACAGACACAGACACAGACACAGACACAGACACAGACACAGACACAGACACAGACACGCACACGCACACGCACACGCACACGCACACGCACACGCACACGCACACGCACACGCACACGCACACGCACACGCACACGCACACACAGACACAGAGAGACACACACACACACACACATGCGCAAACGCAGAGACCGACACACCCCCACACCCACAAACCCACACACGCACACAAACACAAGCACAAACACCATTCAAGAGAGACATTCGGACCCTTGCTTTTCCCCAACGCTGCCCTGGATGCCAGTCCAAAGCATCAACCTCCTGAAGCCGCTGATTTGCTGGGGGAGGGGGGCATTTTCCACAGCGACCAGATGGAAGCTGGGTGCGGTTGGGCCGGATCTCTCGAAAGGATCGGAGGGGCTGGGGCAGGCACCCATCTTGGCACCCTGTTCCATAGAGTCAGGATAGGAGCAAGGGCACACACCTGCCCTCCGGTGATTTTCCAGACACTTTTCGAGAGCCGGCCCAGGTAGAGATTTGTGCGGATAGGCATTTGGGCGCGAGCCGTGATCCCAACAATGCATTTTGTTGATAGCATCCTGTTTGGAGTGTAGGGACACAAATCGGATGCCGCCTAATCGGGTTCTTTATTTGGAGATGTCATTGTCTTTGTCGGCGCGCCCCCGCTCTTTTTTATTTTCCGGGTGCCAGCTTGGGTACCTGGAGTACGGGGCTCTGTGCCGCGCCGAGAGAAGGAACGTCAGGACCCAAAAGCCTCCTACCCTCAGGAAAGGTTGTCATATTTTTTCCAGAACCCCTCAGAAGGTTGTAAGAGCGGTTGGTTTTGCTCTAGGAAGCCGGGGTAATTCGGGCATTGTTTTCAGCAACAAAGGAGAAATTGGACCAAAAACCCACCCTTAACGAAAGCTCTTTGTGCGTACAGCACAAGTATTGAACTTCATTTGTTTGCACCCTGAACCTTTAACAGAAACACTTTGGCAACGGGTGGGGCTCACCCCCCCAAGGTGACTGTGACTCTGCACTTAGGAGAAATCCGCACATGTGTCCCCATTTCGGACGGGAAAGGAATAAGTTTAGGTTTGCAGGTTTGGGTTCCAAGGGGGGTTTCACATATCCGCATCCAATCCAAGCCCGGCATGGATAAGTTTTGTTTGCAGACCAGCTGCTTCCAGTTGCTGAAATGAATATGTGTGATGTTCCCTTGGTTTGAAATGAAATTTGTCACGAATGTTGACCCCATATTCATCAACCCCTGTTTATTCATAATGTGGTGTTTCCCTGCAAAAAATGTTGATTCCTCACAAAGCCCAGAAAGAGCAGCACCCCTCTGAATAAACTCTCTTTTTTTCTCGGGGGGAGGTCGGAGATATTTGTTTCCCACGCGGCGACGAAGCCAATGGAAGGCTGATTCCCTAACTGAGTTTGCCTCGAGCTTCTAGGCGCGGCCAACGCGTTTTGCTCGGAGCGAAAGTCTGTTTTTGGTGTTGAGCGGAGAAAATGGGGGAGGATGTGGCTGGGTCAAGAAGGGGGTAACCCCGAAATGGAACTTGCCCTGGTAAATGGAACCCATGACTAAAACAGGTCCTCTGGTGTTTTAATTTTGACCCACACCCATTTTAGTTCGAAGCCGACCTTTTCACCTTTTGCTTTTTAATGTTCTCCAGCTTGGTGGGCGAGCTGGGTTTTTCTGTGTTGGTTTCTCTGATTTCCTTTGGGCGATTTTAAACGCCCCACCAAGCTGGACACCTTGAACCTTGCCATCTGCCCATTTCGCGGCGCACCCCCCAATGAGGTTTGCTTTCCTGTGATTTTCACCAAGTACCGCGCGACTCAAGCTGATTCAGGGAGTGAGAAATGGAATGACCCCAAGAAGATCTATCCCCGATTTATGGATCTGGTTTCCACAAAGGGAATGCCCTTGGGGTTCATTCCACCCAGAACAGTCATTCCTACTGAGCACCAGCAAGTTTGTCGAGCTGTCAAAAAAGAACGGAACTGCTCAAAACAGTTTTGTTCCTGGCAAACACTTCTACCAGTGTCCGTAACAGGGAAAGGGAAATAACATTCTAATTCTAACTGTTTCAGGGCCTGCCATTTCCGCAACCTCCCTGAGAGGAATTGGGCACCAACACTGGGCAGCTCGGTTTGGGCTTATCCCTGAGTTGGCTTCTTCTCTCCGTACATGTGCCTTCTGCGTTGGGAAGCCCGTCAACTTGAAGTTGCACAAGTCTGAGACTGGTGCAAGCGCACTCTGTGGGTTTGAAAGTTGAGGAAGCTTTTGAATTTTACCTTGTCTGAAAGACCAACACTAAAGAGTTCACTAAGTTTCCATTGCCACGTTTTCATGTCACCTGACAGCACGGGCACTGCTACTTTCACACACTGCAAGGACTCCAAACCCAGACATCGCTTGCAGGGAGTGGTGTTCAGGCTCCAGCACCAGTTGTCTATAATCCGTAGTAGCCCTTGGCAAACCATGCCATCCGTCACTGCCAAATGCTGCGCCAGCCTGCGCCGCTTCCTGCGGTTCTTGGTGGGTGCTCCCGGCGCGCCGCGCGCGCCGTCGCCGCCTGCCTCGATTGTCGAGGCACCTGCCGAGGTACCCTTGCCGGCGCCCGAGGAGGTGTTGGCCCCTCCAGCCCCGGCGCTGACCCTGCTTCAGCAGGAGTTCGACTTGGCAGCCAACGCGGCCAGGAATCTTGGTTGCTCTTTGGTACGACCTTTAAACCTTTCACAACTAAGTGACTAAGTGCGTTTTTTTTTTTTTTAACTAATGCTGAACGGACTTCAGCTTTTCAGATGCGGTCAACCAACCCAGGGCCGAAGTGAACGAGCGCGTGAAGTACTTTCGCAGCCTGAACGGAGGTGGAAGCATGACGAGGATGCAGGAGCTCGAGATTCGGAACCTGCACCTAGGTTGCAGCCAAATCCTTATGACCTGTTCTTCACTCGTCTCGGCGAGTTTTTGTCTTGCTGTTCATTCTGACTGGGGGCCTGCAAAAAAACAGTGAGTTGGTTCGCTGCCTTGCCAAGAGTTGTAGAGTTGGGCTTTCCCATTTCGAGTTTTCATGTTTCAGGCCCTGGTTTTTCACTTCGGTTTGGGGATGATTGAGCTCCGGCTGTCACAAGCTATCCCAAGCTCATCTGGAAGCCAAGCTGAAGGGTTTGACCCTCAAGCTACCCTTCTTGGCTGCTATTGGGTTGGATCTTTAGGCTTGAACTTTTGGGGAAATAAAGGTGTTTTCCACTAAACCCCAAAAAGTGAAAAACTTTTTGCAGGGGGGTCAAGGATTTGCCAGGCTCAAGGCTAAGGGTGGAAACCCCCCCTCCTTCCCTCCTTCCCTTTTTTCCAAGCAACGGCCGGATTTTCCACGTGATGGGAAACTCCCCCGGGCTTCGGAACGGGTGGACATGTTCCACGAGGGTCCAGGCACCCTCTAAGGTGGAACTGCCTCATCAAGACAGCAGAGCTGAAGCGGCTGCAGGGCGAGGAAGAGGAAGCCAGGCAGAAGGCGGGGTTTGCGAATCGTGCGCAAGGCAGTGATTTCATTGGTTCGATGGGCATCTCTGAAATCTGGGAATCCATGTTTTTTTGCTTTTGTCCATTTCCATGTCCATTTGCAGGGTTTGAAGACTAGGTCCCCCAGCTAGGTGGCCTTTTACCGATTCTTTTTTGGTTGGGAGGGTTCCCCTACTAAAATAGACTGCAGGACCTGGTAAAACTGGGGAACCCCCAAATTGAGACTTTTCTCAGACTCCCAAAGTGTAGCCCTAGTTCCCGTTTTGGTGGTGATTTTCGCTCCTCACCTGGAGCGATTTGGATACTATCTCTGTTCACCGCTGACATTGCTTGCTATTGCCCAGGGGCTTTTGGGTGCCTTGCGAGGAGGTTCACAAGTGGCTCTTTTTACTTTGTTCCTTATGTACATGTTCAGAGGATATTAAATTACCCTAGGGTTGATCGGGATTCCTTCATCTTTTAGTCGTATTTGAGGCACCACCATTCGGTTGCCAAGTTTAAGTCATGATGCTTCATGCAACACCTCAAGATTGCTGGACCAAATAAAAGTCGTACCCAGGAGAGTGCCGTAGGCTGAGGCCAGCGCCGAGCGCAGCACGGAGCAGGCGGAGACAGCGCAGGACGGAGGGGAGGGAGTTGTGCTGAGTGGCTGGAAGGTGGGACTCTGAATCTTTGGGTTGGGCTGAGTTTCCTTCTACTCTGTGGGAAGACTGACTAAGTGGAACTGGGTGAACCACCGCCCCCTCCCCCTGAAAGGGGCTAAGTTGCCAGATTGTTATGGTGGGCGCAGATGGCGTGCGGGTCTGTTCCAAAATGGGACCCGCTTTGGAATTGTGTCTTAAAGGCAAGCAAAAGGACAACTAAGCAAGAGGATCCCGTGGTACTCTCCGAGGACGTGCTCAAAGGCCCAACAACGTATCAATGTAAAGCCTTGCACGGAACCAACAAACCCTGAGGAAAGACTTCAAGAGCGAACAGGTGGAACTCCAATGCATCCTGGGAGATTTTGAGAAGAAGCCTTTGGATCCGTCGGCCACTCTTCGACCTTTCCATGGAACGCTGCCATCAGATCGCTTTCGCGAGGCCGCGGCTTGTTGAAAGGCGCTGGGCTGCAGGGGGTCGATCAAAAAGAAGGGGATGACCGTTGAGGTAAACCGCTAAGATGTTGTGTCCCACTAAATGGGAGAAGTTACCCATGATCATTTCGGGGGTCAGGAATATTGATCAACCCCCAAGTCTTTTGGGTTTCCAAGTCCAGCATTTTTCCGTCCTTTTGGACGGAATCGAAGTCTTTAGTTCCCCGGCAGGTGATCTGCGGTTGATGCTAGCTTGCCGACTGTGCGACCCCTTTGTGTGTGTGTGCCTTTGCATGTGCGTGTGGGTGTGGGCCTGGGTGTGGGTGTGGGGGTGGGTGGGGGTGGGTTTGAGTGTTGTGTGTGTGTGTGTGGCTTTGTCTGGGTCTGGGTTTGGCTCTGGGTCTGTCTCTGAGCCTCTGTGTGTGTGTGTGCGTGTGTGTGTGTGTGTGTGTGCGTGTGTGTGTGTGTGTGGCTGTGTGTGTGTGTGGCTGTGTTTGTGTGTGTTGGTGTGTTTGTGTGTGTGTGTGTGTGTTTGTGTGTGTGTGTGTGTGTGTGTGTGTGTGTGTGTGTGTGTGTGTGTGTTTGTGTGTGTGTGTGTGAGTGTGTGTGTGTGTTTGTGTGTGTGTGTGTTTGTGTGTGTGTGTGTGTGTGTGTGTGTGTGTGTGTGTGTGTGTGTGTGTGTGTGTGTGTGTGTTTGTGTGTGTGTGTGTGTTTGTGTGTGTGTGTGTGTGTGTGTGTGTGTGTGTGTGTGTGTGTGTGTGTGTGTGTGTGTGTGTGTGTGTGTGTGTGTGTGTGTGTGTGTGAGTGTGTGTGTTTGTG